TATTAGCACTTCCACACTAGCAGCCCGTGTACTCATGGGTATCCCAATATTGGGTATGGGTATCCCAATCCTTATTTAAGGAAAAGACTAATGTTAATAAAAAGATTATCTGATTTTAATTTTAGGAATTACAAGAGAGTAATGTTTCCATTATGCTCACTCTTTCATTTACTTTTAGGTCTGCTCTAAGTATTTTTCAAACCAGCCAAATGTTGCTTCATAATGTGAAAGTATTCTACCTTTAAACTTCTCTGCTAATCATACGCACAAAACCACATTCTTTCTTACACAGCTTGTTGATTTTTACTATTGATACTACTAAGGTGTTAGCATTTGGTTGAAGATGTTTACCAAAGGGTTATAGAAACTCCTTTTCCTAACTTAAGAAAAAACAAAATTTGTTTATGTATCTACAATAACAAAATGTGACCCATATTTAATCCCTTACAAAAACATACCTTATATCTTCATGTTCAAATTTAAGATGTTCAAGCAGGTGATCCAATTCATGTCCATGAACGAAGTCATAATGGAACTTCAGATCCACCTTAACACCCTTATGGTTGCCTACTGCCCTGAGGAGCTCTGGCAGACGTGGAATCTCACGTGGGTTGCTGGTCAATTCTAGAGTCACTTTTTCTGGCTTGGAATGAGGCATGAGTGAGGCATAGATTCCTACCTCCTCATCACTGACATAGATATGACCCTTGCAGCTCTGTGAGACAAAGCAGGCAATGTACTTTGATGTTGATGCATCACATTTCACTTCCCTTAGGATATCAAGCCATGAATCTCTGCTGACAATGCCAGCATGGCTGAATAGTTTGAGCAGCTCTTTGGAAAGCTCATCAGGCACCTGGTGTACATGCTGACCTAGAAGCCCCGCAAGGTGTTTTAGCACATTGCAATACCTGGAAAACACTATGAGGCCAATCTTAGTACCATGGATTACTTCTAAAATTTCAGATATGGTTCTCTTTACTTGGAAGGGATGTGGTTCTGGTAGGGCCTCAGGAAGTGAGGGAACTTGTTTTTCAAAACCCAAAAAACTCCAAAAGCCTTTCCATGAACTTAATTTCTTCCTCGATACACTATGCTTTATGAAGCTAAAATAACTATCATTCAAGAGAGCAAAATACAAGCACCTGGCTCCATAATAATCCTGAATATCCTGATGCGGGAATGTGATCACCTCGCTTCTACCAGTCACTGTAAAGGTTCCCTTCATGACTAAGAAGTGAAATAAGACTTTCTCAAAATCCAACTTGAGCCCATCACATGTTTTCCTTAACCTTTGTTTTGATTCTTCTGGTAAGTTAGCATCATTTTCACTGATTGATATCAGTGCTTCAGCAAACAATGCTTTCTCAAACCTTTTACAATCTCTAATTAAATCTAAATTTGTACAACTGGAGGACAGTCTTTGTTTTAGTTCCTCAGTCCGCAACATATCCACTTTTGAGTACAGCTCAGTTGCAGTTGTAACACTGTTCACCATGTCAGGATACATAGACCAAAGATGAGTTAGAAGTACAAGATTAAGAGGTGAATTAAAGTGGTGCTGGAGCTTACTTGATGTTCTGTTGATGTACTCCACAAGGCCAGCAGTACTCTTTTTACTCTTGCTCTTTTTGATCATTTCATCATGGTATTTCTGAACAAAATCCCCTCTCTGCTCTACTGGTATTCCTCTGATTTTCAAGTGAACTTTCTTCAGTTCAGAAGGAACTCTTTTGTAAAAGAAGGTATCCACTGTTTCTGGACGGCTGGTGCATAGAACAGTCATATCATGCAATTTCATTCGAGATAGCAGGTCATTAAAGACCTTACCTGATTCTTTTGTCATTTCATTAAGCCCATCCACAACAACTAAAAGTCTTAGGCTGGAAGTGCAGACTATGAATTCATCAATGTTTCTGAAAGATAACAGTGTTTCGGGCATAAGAGAACTTACAAGTTCACTGAAGTTACTTACATGTGAGTCTCTACACATAATTGGCAGAACTAGATCAAATGATGCTAAGTCCTTTATGGAATTTGTGCCACTTTCCCAGTCTGATAAGATGAACTTGAACATAGTTGTTTTTCCATAGCCTGCTTGCCCTTCCAAAAGTATCAGTGTGACAGCTTCTTCATCACTAGCAGAACTAGATATGGTCTCGCATGATTCACTTAGTTTAAGTATATCTCTATATTCAATCTCTTGATTTTTGGTGCCCCCATTACCTTGTTCTATCTCAATTTTAGAGAATACATTTCCAAATTCTAAACAGTAATTACTTCCATCAAGGAAGTGGAATGGGTTTAATGTCATTAGTTTCTTTATACGTTTCTTCAGCTCCTGTGAGCCATTCTTCTTCAGAAAATTTTTCAAATGTTCATGTAACAATTCCTTCTGATATTTCATAATATCCCCTTGAGCAAGTTTAGCATCTCTGATTGCATTGACATTGTAATTTACATTGTCAATGATATCATTAATTTCTTTTGGATCTACATG